GGGCGCCGACCCTCCCCGCGCCCCTCCCCCCAGGGTGACCTGCCCCCCCGCTGCTCCCGGAGCCCCCGCCCGGCGGCGCCGCCTCCCCTCGCGCTCCCCCCGCAGGCCGCGCCGCCGCTCACATGGGCTCCAGCAACTTGGCGAGCCAGGACTTGAGCGCGTCCACGTTGTCTATGATCATGGTGCCCCCCGCGCCATGCGCGGCCCGCGGCGGTTACTGCCCTGCCCTGCCCGGACCCCTCCCCCCGCCGCGGCCTGTGCGCGAACCCGCCGCCGCGCCGCGCAACGCAGCCCGCTGCGCGCCGCCGGGGGCGGGGTGCTGCGCCACGATCACCAATGAAGTGGCGCCGCCGCCGCGCGTTGGACCAATGGGAGCCGCGAGGTGCCCCTCCCAGCAGTCAGCGGGGCAGCAGCATGTTTGGTCGCGCGAGCACATGAAACACCCCTTCCAGCGCCATGCTGGGGGGGGGCTCTTAAAGGGGCAGGCGGCGCGCGCCGCTCCTCCCCCTGGACAGCGYCCCCGGCGGCGCGGAGGAGGCGGCGCCGCGTCCCCAACCCTTTCGCTCGCCGTCCCGCGCCTCTCGGTTCTGACGCGTCACCGGGAAAGGCGCGCGCGCCGCGCACCCCTTCTTCACGGCAGGGCCCAGCCCTCCTTGTCCGTGCGGCATCCGGCGGCCCCGGTGCGGCCGGAGCAGTCACCCCTCGCTGCGCGGACCGGGGGGGCGGGGAATGAGGGACTACCGCTCCCATCGTGCTTCGCGCGACGCAGGAAGCTCTGCGGGTCCCATCATGCGCCGCGCGGGGCGGAGCCGGAAGAACTTCCACTGCCCTGTGGTGTGGACGGAAGAACTACAGCTCCCATCAGGCAAGGCGCGGGGCGCGGCCGGMAGAACCCCCATTTCCCATCAGGCGAGGCGCGGGGCGCGGCCGGAAGAACTACACGTCCCGTGAGGCGTTGCGCGGCCGGCAGCATGGCGGTGAGTGCGGCGTGGCGCCGGCCGGGGCGCTCCCCGGCGCCGCCCTCGCGCCGCCGCCCTGCGGCCCGCGCGGGGTCTCCCCGGGGCGGCCCCCGCGCCCGGCCCGGCCCGCCTCGTGCCCGGCGGCGGCGCTCGCCGGCTCCGCGCGGTCCGGTTGCGGCGGTTGTGCCCCCTCGCCGCGCTCTGCGCCCCGCGTTACCTGTGGCCGCTGCCTGGGCTGTGTCGCGGGCGGCTGAGCGCCTGCCGGGAGGTGCCTGGGGCCGAGGGSGTTGTGCTCCGTCCGGGTTAAGAGGCTCTCGGGGAGGCTCTGGCACTGGGGGCAGTTTTTGTGAAGTTAGAGCAGTTTCCTTATGGGTTTTGCTTCAAAGCCATTTTGTAGTTTGCGGCAGTGCCACTCTGCTTTCCTGCTTTCTGTTCGGGTTCGCTTATACAGGTAAATTGGGAACAGCCCCTGCCCCAGATACAGAGCTTTGATCTTGCAAAAAAAAAAAAAAAAAAAAAAAAGCCATTTTGTGTTATCAAGATCTATGGTTAGGATACCCATGGCATGTATATTCTTTACACTTTAAGTATGCTATACAATAAAGGAATAGGAAGAAGGAATATTTGATGTTTAATGATGGTGTTACTGTGCTGGTAATTGAAATAGTTAAGGATTAAAATAAGTAAAATACTGATTAAAAACTAGTAAAATCTCAAGCTGAATCTCTTGATTCAGGGGCTGAATCTCATGGGTACAAGTGTACACAACCTGTTAATGATACTGTGCTGTGAGATGATGCATCAAAGTCGTGCAGCCTGCATAAATGTTTGCAAATGATTGCCCTCTGCAGCGCTGGGAGGCAGTGACAAAATGATCGCAAAAGAGGTTTGTCGTACACTGTAATTGTGCTTCATTAAGCTGTTTACTCAGACTTTTCTTCTTTGTGTGTTACCTAGGAGCGTAAAGGGACAGCAAAAGTAGATTTTCTGAAGAAAATTGAAARGGAGATTCAGCAAAAGTGGGATGATGAGCGAGTCTTTGAGATTAATGCTTCAGATACAGTGAACCAGAAAAGGTAATATTCATTTTTAACAGGTGTTATCTTCAACTATTTGAAATCTCTTTTGAAGTTTTTTTTTCCCCCCATCAAAACACAGAAAAAAACCCTCTCTTTTGAAATGAGTAGTGCCCTCGGGTGAAGCCGCTTCTGCGTGCGGTGTCCTGGCATTTCCGTAGCTCGCAGCATAAAGCCCACGAGCTGGCCCAGTTCCAGCGCTCTTATTCCTCAGCAGCACCAGTATCCGCCGAGTGCCTAAAGATAGATGCTCTTKTGTGACTTCAGCTTTCTGGCATGGAGAGTATTTCTCAAGGCGAAGCTTGAGCCCTTACAGCCCAGGAAATGACTACCTCTCAGTCAGCAGTTGCCCTTTGTGAGGAGCGGGCAATGAGTGCRGGTGTGCACTCGCTCTGCCTCCATGAGCAGAGAGAAGGGTTGGAGTCACCGAGTCCCCGGAGTCACCATGTGGAGTAACCTGTTCTGCTTCCCCTAGAAATGGGCAGAGCCCAGAGCTCTGCCACTTGCCGTTGTTCACACGAGGGGCTGCAAGGACATAACTGCAAAAGTTTGGCTGTCTTGCTACTCTAAGAACTTCAGCACGGGCTTTTTGTCCTTGCTTGCAGCTCCTGAGGATTTAGTTCCAGGAGTTAGGGGGACTGAGTCAGTATTTAATGACCAAAAGGGGCAGACAATTTGAATGSTAAATTAGGAAGTATAACAAAAACATTTGTTGTGGAAACTTTCTTAAAAGAAACTGCAGTCTGTAMTTTGGTATTTGTTATGTTACAGTTTGAAATTCAGCACTATAATGCTTAAAATTTCAGACTTAAAAGCAGTAGTACATCATTTTTTTTATACAGATTTATAATAATAAGCAATTTAACATGAAATTTCAGTGTTTGGCATGTGGCCACTTTATAGAGGAAAACCTGCTTTCCTAAACTAATTTTACAGTTGTAGCTAAAATACTGTGTATTTATTTTAGTGTTTTGCTAAAGCTTCCTTTATGTTCATCTTTTTTTTTTTTTTAAACTCAAAATAACTTTTAGTGTGATAGCTGTTTCAAAGAAAAGACCAATGTTGTTAATGGGGAAAATATTACCACCTCACAGAGACAATAAAAAATAGCTTAACATATCAGATCATTTTAATTAAACATATTCTAGTTACATCCAATGTTTTAATTTTCCTTTGAATTTCTTCTTAGCAAAGGAAAGTATTTTGTCACTTTTCCTTATCCCTACATGAATGGCCGCCTTCACTTGGGACACACATTTTCTTTATCAAAATGTGAGGTAAAAATTTCTCTTTTATCTTTTTAACTACTACTGTAAATCACATGTTAGTCTTGTAGTTGAATTTTGAATTAACAGAATGCTATGTTGATTACTTTATAGACTCAATGGCACATATTCTGTTTTTCTTGTAACTTCATCTGAAAAATGAATCTTACTTTTTGCGAAGGTTGAGACCTTGTCGTCTTTCTATCTGTGTTTCATGTTTTTCTCTTTTTTCACTTAYATAGTTTGCAGTTGGGTATCAGAGGCTGAAAGGAAAGAATTGTTTGTTCCCGTTTGGTCTGCACTGCACTGGAATGCCTATAAAGGTAAGATAGTTTGAATTATTGAGGGKTTTTTTTGTTTGTTTTCCATACTTAGGTCTGCGTAAGGAATTGTTTACTCTCTAACCAGAACATTATTTTAAATTATTTGAAAATCCATCAAGACAGTGTGACTTATAATTGTAGTGTATCGTCTTTAAAATGTGTGGACTTAAAATTCTTCTTAATTTTTGTTAAAATTCTTCTTTGTCTTAAAATTGTTACTGAACTGTACCTTTTAGAAAATAAAAGTTTGCATAGTTTGTTTTTTCATTTGCAAGACAATTCTCACTCTAAACCTCTTCCTGCCTGTCCCGGCAGACACTGATGATGCTAGAGGCTGTCCTAGAACTTGATGTAACTTCCAGAAAAATATTTACAGTGCTGTAGTGGAATGCAAAGCATTAGCTCTAGCTGCATAATTAAAATGAAAATTTATATTTGATTATTCTAAAGCAAATCAGCCCTTGGCAATTGCTTCAGTCATAGTTACTGAGAACTGCTGATTGAATTTTTATTTAGGCATGTGCAGATAAGCTAAAAAGAGAAATGGAATTGTATGGCTGCCCTCCTGAATTTCCTGATGAGGAAGAGGAGGAAGAGGAAAATTCCACTAAAAAAGAGGAGGAGATTATCATCAAAGACAAAGCAAAGGGCAAAAAGGTAAACTTGTTACAAATCCAGAAAGACTTTATCTGGCTATTGAAGTTTTGAAGTATGTGTTATGGGTTTGGTTCCTACTCACTCCTCAGAGAGAAAACAGTGACACAAATATTGAAATTGCTTTTCCAGATAGGATAGATTTGGGAGAGAAAGCGGGGGAAACATCAACTACATGGTTTCAAAGATACAATTCTAGTGCACAAAAACTTCTTAGTGGTGAGTTGATATACAGTCAAATAGTTTCTGTAGGAAAAGTCAGATGATGCAGAACTTTACTGTGAGCATTTTGCTGCATTCACAAACTGTAGGAAAGAATCTGCTCTTTCAGCAGGATTGATTAGAGAACCTTCTACTTTGATTATTTTATCTTTGAAATATGGCTAGATATGCTAAGTGTAAATGTTAAAGCTCTTTGGGCTTATTGAACTTTTATGTGAGATTTATGATTCTGGCAGTATCACAAGGAAAAGAAACAAAACTTTAGACATATGTTCTTATCCACACTCAATATGTAAAAGAAATGGTCGTGTTTATAAGTCTTAATTTTAGGATTCTTGCTGTTCTGCATCAACAGAAAAGGGGATTGTGACTGCTCTTGCAGGTGTTGAGTGGATGGTGGGAATGTACAAAGTATTTGAAAGTCAAAAGCTGAAAAAAATATGACCAAAGTACCACTGGAAAAGAGGATTGATTTTAAGGGTATAATACAGCATCACACTAACTTTTCATGGCAAAATATCTATTTGATTAAGACCTCAGCTTGATAGTTCCTGCTGCAGCTGCCTTTTCTGCAGCTCTATTTTGATGGATCGCAGGCTGCAGTGGTTGGAAAGCAGACATTTCAAAGTGCACACCCTTGAATATCAGCTAGGCAAAAGTGTCTGAAACTACCTTCACAGTT